TCTCTCTCTCTCTCTCTCTCTCCTTTCTTTCTTTTTTTTTTTTGCCTGCCGGAGATGACAATTAATTACCACGAGGAAAATAATGGCATCACGCACGCCGCACGTACATACGTGCCACTTCCTTCCCTTCCCTTCTCTTCTCTTTCTTTTGTTTTTTCGTTTCGTTTCGTCCCGTCGTCCCCCACGACGATCCCGTGTTCCATTACCGGGGATTTCTAATTAAGCGGAACTAACCACACCGGCAAATCTCTTTTGAACGAGTGCGCCATGTTTCTTCTCTCTCTCTCTTTTTGCCACGGAAGACGACACGGTAAGATGTATGCTGATGAAAATCCGGGGGGGGGGGAAAGGTGAGTATAATGAGAGAAAACGACGCAGCAGGAGCAAACGAATGAATGAATACGAAAGTTAGGCTGGCACGAAAGTCCGTTTTAATTTCGTTCGCTGATTACGATTGTCAAGTCGTGTCGCGTATACAAGGCACAGAAACGCAACTCGATTTATCGAGATTCCAGATTTCAAAGCAACGTTCTTCCCGATCTCCGAGTATCCCTGCACACCTCGTCGATGCTTGTAATTTGCCATTTCAATGCCGCGACTGAAGACCCCGAGATTCGCTAAGTTCTACGTAAATTCAACCAATTTCTTAGTATTGACCGGGAAAGCGAAACGTTGACACGTTTCGGAAGAGTAAATATCAAGGAAATTCTCGCAGAAGAGAAACAAATAAGAGGAGAGGTAAATAATGAAAAATACATTGTACGCACATTTGAAGAAAAGTGGTAAAGATAAACAGATATGTGATCAATTTGACTGTAGGTTTAGTGTTAAGGTCATTTACTTATTTTCCAGCGTGGGTTTCCCCATTCACGAAATTTCATTTGCACAAAGGTGCTTTCGTTCACATTCAGAGGGAACTAATAACAATAACAACTTGAAGTATGTTTCATAATTAATTTGGTTAATTACGCAATACCGCGGTCCACGCTAGGTCGGGTATTTAAGCAAATTGGAATAATTAACGCGGGTATAATTAATCGCAGTTTGCGAAGCACTTTGCGCGCGATTTGATGATTCGTCGAATCGTTGGATTTCTTGT